TCAATGTCGACTTTGGGGCCCTTGATATCAATTTCTGGACCCTTCAGGTCCCCTTCCAGCTTGGGAACAGACACCTCCGCATCACCCTTCAGCTTGGGGCCCTTGAGGTTGAAGTCAACGTCGGGCATGGAGATCTTGGGGGCCTTGATGTGCATCTCGGGCATCTTGAACTTGGGGCCTTTCAGTTTCCCCTCAGGGCCCTCCAAGTCAACGCTGGGTGCCCCAACATCTAGTTTTGGCCCCTTCAGGTCTATTTCTGGCCCTTTCAAGTCACCTTCTACCTTCGGAGCCGCAATGTCCACTTCTCCTTTCACTTTAGGTCCCTTTAGGTTCAAGTCTACGTCTGGCATGGATATTTTGGGTGTTTTGATATTCAGCTTTGGCATCCGGAACTTGGGGCCTTTCCATTTTCCTTCTGCTCCTCCAACCTCCAGCTCTGGCCCTTCGATATCTGCCTCTGGCCCGGAAACCTCGATCGATCCTTTCGGCAGGTGGACGTCTAGATCGGCTCCTTCAAACTTGGGGCCAGACACGTTAAAATGGGGCAGTTTCATTTTTGGCATTTTCAGGTCGGCTTCCGGACCCTCCAGGTTGACGTCTGGGACCTCGACGTCGATTTTTGGTCCCTTGATGTTAAGACCAGGTCCTTTCAAGTCACCTTCTGGTTTTGGGAGGGAAACATCCATCTCTCCTTTCATTTTATGTCCCTTTAAGTTCAAATCTACGTCCGGCATGGAGATTTTGGGTGCCTTGATGTTGAGCTTCGGCATCTTAAATTTGGGGCCTTTTATTTTCCCTTCGGGACATTCCAAGTCTACCTCCGGCATGTCAACATCCACTTGGGGACCTTCCACCTCTATTTTGGGACCCTTCAGATCTCCGGACACTTTCGGACCAGAAATATCTGCATCTCCTTTCAGTTTGGGGGCCTTCAAACTGAGATCGACGTCTGGCATGGACAGCTTCGGCGTCTGGACGTTTAGTTCCGGCATTTTGAACTTGAGGCCTTTTCCTTTCCCTTCGGGCCCTTCGATGGCCGCGCCTGGCACAGCAACTTCAACCTTGGGACCAGCGATGTCCACCTCACCCGCTGGTAGCGTCACCTCCACGTCGGGGCCTTCGCCCTTCAGGCCGGGAACGCCGAATTTGGGCATTTTCAGCTTTGGCATCTTCAGTTTGCCCTCGGGACCGTGGATGTCCACGTCTGGAGCCGCGACGTCGACTTTGGGGCCTTTGACGTCGAGCCCGGGTGCTTTCAGCTCCCCTTCCAGTTTTGGGGCCGAAACGTCCAGGTCTGCTTTCACTTTGGGACCTTTCAGGCTCAAGTCCATGTCAGGCACGGAGATTTTGGGGCTCTGCACGTGTACCTCTGGCATCGCAGCTTTGGGGCCTTTGACGTCGACATCGGGCGTGTCCACGCTCACTTTGGGGCCCTGAGCATCGATATCGACACCAGGACCAGCAATTTCCACTCT